GCTCTTTAACGATGCTGATCAGCTCATTTAAATGGTGCCGTTCCTATAGCCTTCAAAATACGTGCTCTATATGCAGAAATGTTACCAGAACGAAGCGGACAATGCGACATTTCAAAGTTGACAGAAAGCCTAGCAAACTTATTTCACATACTCATCAGTTCAAAGGAGTTGGTGAACAACTAGAAGCCATCAGAACAGACCGGCGGCTTTTTGAGATTTGGAAACCTGTAGCGTTTACGGCTGCCGTTGGTGGAAGTTGCTTCGTTGGTGCCTCTGTGTGGCACTATGAAAGGTTCAAGAAGAACAGAGAATTTCTTTTCAGCAGGAAGTACTGGAATTATGAAGAGCGCGTTAAGTATGGTAGTTGGCGGCAGCAGGTTGTAATATAAAAATGCAGCCTTGATAACTTTATGTTAACATTACAGGTTCATGAAATGTGGCAAAATTTTACCTTTGGTCAGAAAACAATTATGAGCTTGATTTTCGCCAACGGTATTGTTTTCGGCGCATGGCGACTACCTTCCCTTCGATCAACGATGTTCCGGTATTTCACCTGTAGCTTTTATGGTGGTATAATAACTTTGATTGAATTTAAAGTATTCAGAAGTTACTTGTTACTATTGATTAGTTTGTAATTGTCCGTATATATAAAGCGAGATCGCGTGTTCCAGTTGTTATGATATTGCGCTACTGCCAACTCTCGGGAAACCTTTCTTCTGAATTATTTTGAAAGCGTTGATAAAAGCAACTAACGGGAGATTTCGCCCAAATTCACTATGCTTCCCCAAGGATCATTGAGCAAATTCGACACCTCCAGCTGCCTTAATTTGGCAGTTTCCTCGAATTTAAGGCTATATTTGACTCACTATATCGTCTTACGATGCGGAATATTCTTAAATGCTATGGGATATAGTAGAGCGTCGTTTCCATTTGTCAATTTTTATAAGTTACTGTTCATCTCCCCTTCCCTAGCCATTCGAAGGATTTTTTTGCTGGTCGGAATAATAATTAAGGAGGTTAAGTCTTACAAAAGGAAAGCATGATCCTGATGTTCTGAGCTGGACTCCATGGTTGGAGTCCATGAGTGGAAATTTCAAGATGTTAAATCCTATTTAGTTAAACCGTTGATTATCCAGACTTTTGGCTGCGGAATTCCGTAGTTGCCGAGGACTGAAAGAAAGTCCTATGTAATTGTTCCATTTATAAAACCGGGAATTGCAGTATGCTTCTGAGCGACTCTGAAAGTGGTGTATTATCACTCATCGAAAGTGTATGCAATACGATTGTGGGAGTGATACTTTAAGTTGACATAAAAGGACAAAAGTTATGAGAATGCCGGTCGTGATCAACAGCCGGAGTATTGTAAGAAGTTGGGGATCGGTAGGGGGTTGGTCCTGCGAGGACTGAGACTCAGAGACCAACT